GAAATTTCGTGGACTGTTTAGTTGTCATTTTCGGGAGAGCAACACTGCATTTTATCGAGGGGGAAAAATCGGAAATTTTAATTTTACTGGAATACTATATATGAAAATGCGAATTTTTGGGCAGCGGAAAAATGAAATTTGACATTTTTAGGGAATGATTGGACTGCAATTTAGTTTCCATTGATCTTTCCATCAAATTGCGAATTTTGAATGAGGAAATTTGTTAAAATTCCAGTAAAAATGTCGCTCGATGAAATTTTTTAAGAATTTTAGCGGAAATTGTAAGCAGATTTATGGATTTCATTGAAAATCTGTTGGTCATATTCATGAGAGTGACATTAACTTCACTTTAGGGGGAAAAATCATCAAATTTTTAATTTCGCGGAAAATTTAATGGAAATCCCAACTTTTCGTCGCCCTAGTCACTTAAATTTTCACACGAAACTTGAAAGCTCGTACCAAATTGCGTTGGATTTTTCTGATTTGCATTAATTTTCATGAAACAATTGAACTGAAATTCACTTTTTGAAGAACAAGAGTTGGCAAAACGTCCGCACATTTAATTAACACGATAAAAATTTCCGAGCTTAGCTCTAAAAAATTCATCTAAAAATGTAAAACACTATAATAACCCCCGCACCTCCTCCCAATGACCATTAAAAACCGCCAAAACCCTCATCCATCAATTAATGAACCCCAGAGTTGTAATTAACAAGTTCCCGTCAGAACAGTGGAATTGTAATAGAGGATTTCAAAAACAGGATTCGACAAAGCCCCTGCAAATTTCATGGAGAATGTAACACGCTAAAAATGTCCAGTATTTCCCCGGAACTATTCATTAAAAATGTTAAACCCCAATGATCCCAATACCTCCCCCACTGACCCAAAAAATCCCCAAATCATCATCTGCCAATTAATCACCCCCACAGCCAGCGATAGCCAAATTTGTAATATTTTATCACGACTAATACTATAGCCCTTAATTAGATAACATCACTCTTGAAATTTTTTGAGTACTTAAGTATCATCAATTCAAATATTCAAATATTCAACTATTTTATCAATCAATAATTTGAGGTAGGAAGATTGACGATTACCTGCGTAATCGAAAATCCCCTTTCAATCAACAAATTGTAAATATATCATTATTCGTAAAAATCAGATTATTAACATTACATTATTTGAAAAATTGAATCAACATATTTTAAACCTTCAATAATGTAAGGGTCAAACCCTAGCAATATCACAGAAATTTAGTATTGACGGGGATCCCCCCCCACAGCCGTAATTATTAAGTTCCCGTCAGAACAATGAAATTGTAATTGTGCGAAAATTTCAAGAACAGGAGTCGACTAAACGTCTACGGCTAGAGTGTCGCTCGATCGATCCGTGGATGCGTACGCTCGTGCAGCAGCTGGGGTTCTCTCTACTACAGCCTATCGAACAAGGACAGAATGAAGAGTGACAGGAATAAGGGAGAGAGAGGGGGTGCAACTGGAAAAATAACGAATGAACTAAACGATCGATCCCACGGTCTGACCCACATCTTCCGTGTTTCGTTGACTACATCAATACCTCCATTTCCACTCGTGATTATTTCCTAATCCTCAGGGTCATCCCCACACTTGAATCGCCCAGTCGAGGTCACGATGACGCATCCCCCACGATCACGATTTTTTTCAAAATCCTTCAAACCTCATCAAGAATACATTTTTCAATTTCAGTTTCGTAACTTACGCAACTGGCGGAATAAAATTACCATCGATTATTCGTGCGCAGAGTCAACACGATACAGAATGTGCTGTCAGTTGATCAGAAGACACGGGAATATTTAATTCTCCCTGGGATCAGTGGCAACAGGTTAACATGCATGCGTCAAGGCCTTCAATAAACTCAAACCACCAGATAAAAATGAAATAAAATGCACGAATAAGCGTAAATAAACTCCCGACAATGAAGAAATAGCGATTAAGCATGACGAACACCTAATAAAATACCAGAGCAATTTATCTCCCCCCTCCATTCACTCACGAATGACTGTTTTTTATTCCCCTCACAGCAGTTAACTCTCGTTTTTCCCCCTTTTCGTGGCGTTTCCCGCCCCCCGACAAATCTCCGGACCACCCTCAAGGTTATAACTCCGTCATAAATACAACATGAGTTAGAGAAACAATCCAACAACATTGATTATTACGTTTTAAACTCCGTCACCAGTCGGAGATGATCGTCCTCGTCCTCCTTATTTTCTCTTTAAAAATCCTCTTTTACGAAGTCCGATGGGTTGCTCTATTATTTAGGAGAAAAATTTATGGCTCAACTGGACCAGCGGACGCGACTGAGCGCGGGAAGGTGAAACGAACGGTTGGACCAAAGCTGTAGTGCAAAACATGTAGACAAACGTATAACTGAAGTGTGAAGGGGTGGGTGGGAGGTGGGAGGGATGTGAGAAATCTAATGGTAGGAATAAAATACGCGGGGTTTGCGTGGCGGTGGTGCCACCTGACAGACACTGGGAAATTCGAGAAAAGCTGATATTTCCTTCCCTCCTTTCGCCCATGCGCATCGACTTTAATCGAATTTTCCGAAGATGAGGGAAACTGGGGGTGGGTTTTTCCGCCGTCTGTGTGCATCAGTCACGGGTAACTGGGTTCTTGGGTGGCCTGGATAGTCGGGGGAATACATTTAAAAAGTTTGGCCATTTGAATTATCATGAAATGTCGATAAAATAGCGGAGTAAATGCCCGGGGAAATTATGCGCATTTTTCCCACTTTGGTTTCTCGTCACGCGTCTGACATTCATTGGCACAATTTTTTTATCAATTTTCCTTCGGGACTCGACGAACATTGAATGTGCAAATTCCGAGTTTGCGTGGTTTAGAATCAATTTTCGAATGGAGTTTCGCTGTGTGCGCATGACGTGAAATTGATTGCGCGTTTTACCCCGGTGGAGCGTTGTTTCAGTACTGTCAGCGGTGGTGTCTACCACCCCCTGCATCGATATTCAATACAGGGTAATTTCTGGGATTTTCGGGGAATGCTTGTTTTGAGATTTGAGGATTGTAGAGTTTTTTTTATTAGAAAATTCGCGGTTTGGGGTTTTTGGTCTGTTGTGTGGGACATTTTTTATTGTCGTTCGTTGACTGTTCGATTGGGATTGCTGGTGGGTACTTACGGAAGACTTGCGGTTACACGCAGGAAATAGTATCTCGCACTGGTTTTTCATGTTAGCAGGGGTTTTCAGGCGCTCCTCCACAATCAAACGGGCGCGCGCACATTTTCTCACCGGAAATCGGTTGTTCTTCTTTAATAGTTCGAGAGAATTAGAATTTTTGTTTCGTTTCATTGGTCTATCGGGGAAGTAATTTTTTTATGGATGCGACTTTATGTCAGGTGTTTTCATTCTTTATTTGTTTTTATAATTAACATTTTACCGTGGATGTGATCAGACGGGAAATTGCGGGTTTTCATTTTCTCACCGGAAATCGTTTTTTTTTATACTTTCAGAAAATTTGAATTCATGGTTTAGTTCATTGCTCATATTTGGGGGGGGGGGGAAATAATGTT